GCTGCATCAGAGAGGATCCACTTAGGTTGAGGGTATGTCATCAGCCACTTCGTCAAACTCTCGATGATGTTCTGGCTTTTCGGCTCCCACGCTCCACTTTCATAGCGAGCTAGATGATCCACCATAGTGAGTCCAGTTGCCCGATCGCGCCGCAAGAGCATCTTGTGTTCGACGCCGTTCTTCTCCTCATACTCCTTTAAAGACATCAGTGCCAATCTGCTCAAAAGGATTCGGGGTCTCATTGGTTCCGGCAGGAGGTCGAGGACGAGGCTTCGATGCCTCTTTGCGCCAATGCCCAGCCCGGTGATCCTCGCGCCTTCAGAAGTTGAACCAAATTGGACATCCCTGCGTGGCCACTTGCTCGATGAACTCGAAGCATCTATTGTTTCACTGCTTCTAGGCGTTTGCCTTTTGGAGCCTCCTCAGCGTCAATTCGCTTCCGACTCAGTGCCAGGATCTGCTGTTCTTGTACATGTCGGTGCGCATCATCCACCACTCCAGAAAGTTCAGATTGACGGACATCATCAAGTAGCGCTGCCATCGTAGATACAGGACGTTGCTCGTCAGGAAGTCGACGATGTAGTCCACGTTCAGGATGCGCTTCTCCACGTCTTTCTTCAGAGAGCTGGTCTGTTGTTGCCACGCATGCTTCATGCCTTTAAATTTCAGCATCTCCTTGCGCATCCGCAGTGGGTAGTAGGAGGAAGCTTGTGCAGCCATGCCCCTACACTCAGCGCGCTCATGGGATCTGTCGCACCTCTTGTTCAATGTCAACCATAGTTCTCGGCTCGATGTCAGGATTGCCCAACTTCCTCTTCTCATGACTGGAGCTTCCTTATTCAATTGGCCGTATTTCGAGAAGCTGGTTCAGGTAAGTAGCGAGGAGAAAGGACACTTCGGATAACGGCCCCGAAGGGTCCCAAGTGCCGCCTGGCGTGACCTCAGATGTAAATTGGTGGAGTCATTGCTCGACACACTGGTCTGGGCTGTTGGAAAGTTCGGCCAATTGTCATCGACAATGGACAGGTTGACGAGCTTGGCAGGCGAGATCGGCGCTAGCAATAGCGAAATGAACAGCCGTGTGGAGGGCCAAGCTTTGGCTCTCAGCAGAATGTCGGACGCGCCTTTCTCATTGGAGTGCCCAGGCCTGCCACTGAAGTCCATAGGCACAGCCGTCGATCCGAATCGAGTAAGGACCTCGTCCATAGCCTTGTCAGACGATCGATGGCTCTACAGCGGCAGCTGTTGTCGGCCACTCCCACGCGATGTCGCCACCTGAAGCCAAGACACGGTCGAGGTACGCCCAGATCTCATCGCACCTGCGCAAGTCATTGCCACGACGCTTCAGGAACTTGTCCATCTCCTCCGGGCTTCTGTCTGTCAAGTTCTGCAATGCCGAGAGGCGAGTGCGCCTGAAAGAAACCCAGGCCAGTCGCGGTATCGCCGACCGGATGGTCTGATCGAGCTTGCTCGCCCCCCTTGCGGGCATCCGGGCATCCAGGTCATAGCCGCATAGCCGCTGAGGTAGCTAACCCGCTGGCATTGGAATCCAGCCTCTTCGAAGGTCTTGGCTGTCCTTTGAGCAGGCGATCTCCATCAGGTCAACTTGAGGACTTGTCACGTTGACTGACTCTCGCACTGGTTCCATACGGAAACAGTCAGGGCGAAGGAGAGGCTTGTAGCGCGCAAATTCGTTGAGCCAGTGAGCTGAGGTCACGAAGAGATGAGGCGTCAGTTCTTGTCACCATCAGAATCGATGCCACACGATCAACTGGAACTGCCAACTGACATTCATTATGTTCATGTACCTCATGTCCGCCTGATGCCTCAACTCCATGTTCACGACTACCATCTTCATGTCCGTGTTCATGTTCAGGTCCATGCTCATGTCCGCTGTCTCCATGTCCAGCACCACGCACGTCATGAACTGTCTCATGCGTTGCCTCATGAGCTGTCGACCCCAAACTGATCTCATCAAGTCTAGTGTCTTCCGAAGGATGAACAGGACCATGCTCATTTGATGAAGCCATCATGATGTCGGGTTCAGCCGTAGGAGGCGCTGTCACCAAGCCTGTTTCTCTGGCAAGCCGCGAGGATGAAAAAGGTCCCTCAGGCGTTGCTAGGTCCTGCTGCCATCAGACCTTGGCCGACATGATCTTCAGGTCCGATTGCACCAACAGCAGCATCTTCACGATGGGCACCCGCCACCGAAGCTCGCAGCAAATCACGCGCAGCACCGAAGCCAGCCCCATTGCGAGACCGCTTCCTTCTCCGGCCACCAGGTCCAGGTCCAGGACCATCATCTCCTCCATCTCCGTCTTCATCTCCGTCGTCTGGTTCATCATCACCAGGAGGTGGTCCATTCAACTGGTTGCTGAGGCGCTGGATCAAGAAGCGAAGGGGAACTCGATGCTCCAGAAGGTCCAGGGTGAGGTGTCCGCCACCACGGAAATTGGTCAGGGCGTTCGCCCACCAGTTGCCAGCGATCGGACTTCGATGGGCCAGGTACTCGCCGTAGTAGGACACCATGGCCTTCCGCAAAGATCACGAGATCCAAGAAGCATCGGTGTTCTCTCTGCTCCACCGTCCAGCAAATAGAAGCTCACTCTGCCCAAGGCAGGGGTTGACAAGTGGATCTTGGACACTGCTCTCTGACATTCTCCGTCGCCAAAGCGAAGTCTTGGCAGTCTTGGCCTGTCGTTCAACTCAATCTGATAGGGGATCCCGGCCGCGTCAATCAGCCAAGACATGCGCCGTATGCCAGCCACTGACTCCGTCGCCCCAGTGTCCACGATCGCCTTCGAGGTGGCCAGGTCGTCCGACGACTCGTCCTCAGCAAGCGACAGGACATACACCTCAGGACACCACGCCTCGCCGTCATAGTCGACGAAGTAGGCAGTGCCCTTCTTGCTCTTACCAGACTTGCCCTTGCCCTTGCCAAACGGTGATCCCTCGAAGATGACGGTGATGTAGAAGAGCCCTTGCCCCACCGGATGACCACCCGTCAGGACATTTCTGGTAACCTTGACCTGTCACGCCACAGATGAAACACGGACCCATATACGTAGTGCCACCACCAAATCCCTTTCCTTTGCCACCAGAGCCGCCCTTCTTGCCTTTTGATGGACGCGGACATTGGCCACAGCTTGCTTGGCTTCAGCCAAAGTTCGATTTGCCTCGCCAGCCAACACAAAGGCCTCTTCAAGCCTCTTTTCATTCTCCTCAGCCGTCAACTCCACTCCATCATCACCTGGATGAACTGGATCTCCACCGGCGAGCTCATAGTCCTCGTCGTGGTAGTCCCATGTCGAAGCGGGTGACCAGTCATTCCAGCAGGCTTCTTCATCCCGCCAGTCCCATCTGCAAAGAGTGATCGTAAAGCTCGTCTGATGAGCTGGAAGTGGGAGCTGTTCTTGGTCAGGGTCATGCTGTCGCTCTGCAGCCGACAACTTTGCAGCGTTCGTTCTCAAAGAACCCTGCATTGTCCAAGGCCGCAGGCTTCTCCTCCGTCTTGGTCACTGGGGGGCGCCTTGTCATCCTCAGGCACGCGGAAGGTGACGTTGGGCGACCTTGTAGGTGAGGTCGGTGGATCGTGCTCCTCAGCCCCCACAGCCATGGATCGAACCTCATGCCGCATCCTCTCAGCTCTGGCACGCTGAAGTGCTTGATAGAGTTCAACGAAAAGTTCTTCTTCTCAGACTAGGAGCTGGGGTACTTTCAGTATGGGTCCTCCGAAGTCCTGACCACTTCTCTAAGCGGTTGAAGCTATCAGGCACTGGGAGCTTCTTCTGCAGCGGGCTTTCTCGAAGTACACCAAGTAGTTTGTTCAGGCCAGCTTCTGCGCCAAAATACGTGGGATCCAAGTGGCGAACAACACTCTTGGCCGCTCCGGCCAGTCGCTGCCAGATGCGAGGAGCCCCCCAACTTTCTCTCATTGTCCTTCAAGGAGGCCTCGTACCAACGGCAGGAGGCCGCGAAGGCTTCAAAGCCAGAAGGGTCTCCGTCCCACGTGGGGACTTCCTCAGCAGGCATCACCAGGGCCACGACGATCGCAACCAGGAGCTCCGCCTACCATGCCAGCGGCGCTCTACCAAAGAGCAAACGAAGGACCACCTCGGTCCACAGGCGCCTAAGTGCCTTTTCCTCCAAGGCTCAGTGCTCGAGCCCCACCACTACGGTAGGGATAGGTTCAAGCCAAAGGTCAACATGTCATGAGCACATGAGCCTCGTGCTCACACGTACAATATGAATGCCGCATGCCACACGCCGACCAAGGTACAAAACCCGACGAGTCCAGGTGCAGGAAGTAAGCAGAAGACTCCAAAGCTCTAAAGTGCCGAGGCTGTCAACAAGTTCCAAAGGCTCCAGACTCAAGACTCAAGCCAATAACGAAGACTCCAAATGCACACCTGCCCACGAAGAACGGATGCCAAGGCCGTAAAACAGCAATTACAGCAAGGTGATCAGCCTTCCCGTCCCATCGATGACCGTAGCTTCGTTGCACACGGTGGGTCATGGATGCGTGCCCCTGCAATAAAACCAAAAGGTAACCTCTGACCAAGCCCGAACCCATGGTTGATGGAGCCCAACACAAACACAAAGTTCTACGAGGGTTGAGAAGCCTGGACGACAGCAGAGCAAAGGAAACTGAGGCTCTGATGACCTTGGCAGTCGTCTTGGGCGCTTGGAGGTTCCAACTCCGGGATGAGGAAAAAGAATCGAGGAGAAGAACAGGTCCGGAGCGGCCCAAGGAAAGAGAGAAGCGCCGAATCACAAATCACGCTCTCACGAAGCACGAATCACGAATCAAGAAGTTTGTCCCGGTCACGTTGGCGACACACGAATCACGAATCACGATGTTGGAAGGGAATCAAAATCACAGAGAGTCACAATTCGATGTTGTAAATTAAGGGATCTTGCAGAATCTCGGAGCATATTAAGTTCTCAGAACGCTCTTCTTTCCTCAATTATGTTGGATCCTTTTGGTGCAAAACATCCGGCCTCGCCGATTGGTATCGACAACTCAGAGTCTTTCGTGGGCACTGGAGGCCTCAGGCAGCGGGGCAGCAGTGGATTTGTCATATTCACTTGCTATGACTTCAAATGCAAAACGACTGTCAAAGCTATGGCAAATCGGCCGGCAAATTGACCAGCTTGAGAAAGGTCTGATCACCTAAAGAAAGTTGTGCACTGTCTCAGCTTCCAGCTTCTTACCACCATAGTGGATGTTCTGAAGGGCAGCATCCGGCTCATACAGCCAAGAGCGCTGGGTCCTAGCGTTTGAGCATTCAGCCCTTCTAGATTCACACCTCAATTTTCAGTCTCCTGCATCAGTCAGTTCACTCTCAGACCTATGTATCTGGCGGCCAGGTAATAGCTCCCCCTAAGCCACAGGCTTTGTGTTGCAGCCCGGATTCTTCGAATCATTGTATGCCTCACACGCACGCACAACGCACCAATGGGATTCCATGAGACAAAGTGCGCCGCGCCGCTGCGCCTCACCGCAAAGGATGCCCACCTTCATGCCATGTGCCTGGCCCTGAGCAAATGGAACTTAAACGCTGGAAGAGTGGTTGAGTCCTTGAGCCTGGTTATTCAATTATTCATGCCGTGGTCCCAGCACTTGTCGGTCCAAGTGGATTGTGTGAGCAACCTTAAAAGTCACCTCATCGGACTGCGAGTGCCTCGGCCATCTCCGTGCTGATGCCAGCAGAGTGTGGGATGGAGGCTGCATCGGGCTTCTCCTTCTTTCGAGTGCCCTGGCCGTGTGGGAGCGATTTCCTGGTCTGTCCGTCAGTGGCGAAGACCCGACGGCCCTTGTGAAACGTAGACTCTAAAGACCAAATCCTTCGGAATAACAACTCTGCAAATTGGAGGACGGCCTCCAACCTAAGAGCGATGGCCTCCACCCTAGCGATGGCCTCGCCATAGAAGTGACCATGAGTGGTGTGAAAAAAGCGCTGGTCGTGATTGTCCTGGGCCGTCGAACGGCGGCCAAGCATCTGGGGCCTATGTGGGTGGTAAACACATCTAGAAAGCGCGGACAGAAATCTTGCCTAGATTAAAGCTGGAATAAAAATATACATGTGCGATACATGTCTTCAAAGAGCATTTTGTCAATGTTGATTCTTGATCATCTCATTTCTTTGTTTCAGATGCATGTCATCCTTTTCGACGCATTCAAAACAAATAACAAAGCCCCGTGCAGGAGACAAAATGGCAAGTGCAGTAATGATACAGCGCTGTGTGGCTTGCAACTTCCAGCATGGAGCAGTTCTTAAAACAGAATTTCCCAAGGCCCCCCAACTGGATGGCGATTGAGATGTGCCCCAAAGCCACTGCGAGGGCCAGGAAGCTCCCTTGTCTCCTGCACTCGTGTGGTTCAATGGTCGTGTTCTGCCTTGGGTCCACAAAAAAGCTTATGTGGCTAGTCGTTTCACGTAGTAAGAAACTTGAAAAATACATAAGCATACTCATCACTGGGATGTCTGATTCCAGTAAGGATTGGGAATGGAAGGACTTAGGTTCAGCCCTTCCAATGCATAGGACTTTCTGTAAGATATCTTCTGCTGGTTCTTGGCATCCCTGCAGGTGGGCATACCGGCGCGTTGGCTGTGGTGATCATCGTGGGGGCCTTGGATGCAAAAGGATCAGAGCAAACTGGTGAGCAAGGCACTGGTGAGCCAAGAGGCTGAATTGCCTGAAGTGACTGTATCAAGAACAGCATATCTACCAGCCCATCTAATCCCAATCAGTTCTGTCAGTTCGGCCATCCATTCGATGTGCTTCAACTCCAGATCTGGGACTCCCCACCACAGCCTTGCCCTTGCCCCAATCATTCCGGCTCCTGGAAGTTTTTCAGTTGTAATACGCAGGAGTCTGGGACACTGGCAACCACTGGTCGTTCACAAGAAAGAATCCAGTAACAAGCAATCTCCTCACAAAAATACACAACAAATGTCATAGTGTTTGGGGCAAAATCTAAACCAAGTCAAGTCCAGAGAAAGAGGTTGTCAACCAACTCAAAGGGTGTCTCACTTGTCTTAAACACCCAACAGCAACAGGCTAGATATGGGGCACAAATGTTTCGTGTCTTCAGCTCTCTGTGCCTGGGATCCTTGAAGTCTGCCAGGTTCGTAGTCACCTCCCACAGTGCTGGACTTTAGTATCATAGAGTCATAATTACTAGAAATGGTCATACTCCGAAAATCGTATATATCTATCTCCTATCTGCTCGGGGTTGCCTGGAGTGACGCTACGTTTGCCCTGTCCCCGGTCTTCCTCAAACATCTCTCACAAGATGTGGATATGGTCAGAACCCTATAAGGCCCTAGTGGCTCGCCGCCAGCTGCTTGGTCTACCTTTACTCCTTTGCAAAGCAGCACCGCAAGTTCAGGCCTGTGTCCCAAATCCTTCACCCTCAGTTCGCACATTTTTCCTTGACCACATGGCCACGGGTGAAACTCCTTTCTTCCAAAGGCCGTTCGTGCACACGTCAAATCAACCACAGGAGTTCATTCCTGTTCGCCAAAAATACAAGTGCCAAAAGGGGCTCTGTTCGAGTCTCAGTTCTTCCTAAGTTTGGCCTTCCTCTGTCTCTGGCCTTTGAACTACGAGCCGCAGCCGCTGCTTCAGCAGCCGTCTTAGTGCTCGGAAGACCTCATCAAGTGCCAAATGACATATCCGACAAAAAGGAGACTCCAAAGAATGTTCCCATGATTTAAGCCTAGAACCCCTGATGGCTCGAAAGTTTTAAGAAAAGCGCTTTCCTCCCCCCCCACTGACAGGCACTCACGCAAACACATTTTTCACTGACGCCGCACAAACAGCAACATCACAGACGGACTTTGACAAGGTGTACCACACACTACATACAACCATGTCACACCCAGCCTCGCACGATCCTGCGAAAGGGTTCACCGCAGCACCCTCCAGAACCGACAAAAATCGCACTTCGCTACACGTTTGGGCACTCGACGAACCGGATCTGCGAGAGGGTTCGCCGCCAACCAAGGGAATTCGCACTTCGCTTCACGTTTGGGCACTCGACAGGCTGGATCCTGCGAGAGGGTTGCTTCTCGCGATCTCTCGCTTGGTCCGCCCCGGCTTTCAAGATAATTGAAAGAGTGAAAAGTCAAGAGTAAAAACTTGGTCAAGTCTCTTGCAAATGCTAAAACTCAAGTCTCTTGCAGGTGCTAGTGCAACATTATCACAAGTGCTAAAGCCTGTTCATAAAGCCTGTTCAAAAGACTCTCATAAGTGCTAAAACCTGAGCAAAACTCTTACAAGTGCTAAGGCCTTTGCAAGATATTTACAAGTGCTTAAAGCCTGAGCCAGACTCTGGCAATTGAAGTGGTAGATATGTCAGACCAAGTGCCTTTAGTAAGAGCCCTTCGACCAAGTCTTTCGGGAAAAAGAAAACTCCTCCCCAATTGTGTTCAAAGGATCTCTTCAACTTCTCCAACCGGAAAATTCTGCGACCAGGCTGCTGGTCGCTCATTCTCCCATCAATTTCACAATGACCTTGTTGATGCCTCCTTTGATGTCCTTGGCTCCAACAGCTCGGATAGTCGTAAAGGGCCCTTACAAATAAGAAACATTCAAAGGAAATGGGGTGTGTGTGTGTGTGTGCGTGTTTCTAGCAAGGGGCAATGACGGCTAATCCTTGATCTAGCTAAATCAACAAAGCAAAGAGTCGAGAAAACAATGGTCTTTCCCAAGGCAGTGTTCGGAAAACCTTTTTCCCAGCTGGCCAAGACACTCCAGACTCGAAATTCTTGTTGTCGACCAAACCATCTGCCTGCGAGGGGAGGGGAGGGACCAACAAAAACGGGTTGCTCCCTTTCCATTCAAGACACTGCCGCAAGGCGTTTGAGATCCGTCTCAATCAAGACAGGGTGTGATCAAAATCGTGACAGTCATGTTCAGGCTATCATGGTCTTGGAGAACATAGTTGGCCTGTTATCCTATTGTTGTCTTGCTGTTGTCAGCTGCCCGAAGACCAGCAAGACCCTCAAGCGAGCTCTTTTTCAGAAGCGCCCTTGCAGTATGCTCCAGAGCTTCTCAGGCGCATCTTCCGTCTTGAGGCCTTAAAGCAGATCAGGATCCAGGGAGTCTGCGGTTGGGCCACATCGGCAGTCTGCCGACTCATCGGATGAGTTCCCAATTTTGAGACACCCTTTGCCGAGCGAGCTTCAAGCTCTTGTAGGTCGGACCCAAAGCACTTCTCAGGCAGCGACGTTCGGACACAAGTGCTAGAAGCTTTGCCTGCATTGCCAAACGCTAACCAACTCTGAATGGTCGGATACAAACTTCTGCGTAGTCTTGAACATACTAGTAACAAGAAGCTACTTGGTGGAGGCCACCGCTATTAGGTTGGAGGCCACTACTAATAACAAGGACGCTATTAGGTTGGAGGCCATTGCTATTAAAGCCATCGACCTCAACAAAGCGACATTCTGGTGTGTCCCTCCAGCCTCAACCTGCTCAGGAGAAGCGATCCTGACAGGTCATGGCAGCATTTCAGCATTTCCCTCAAGCCTGACAGTCCAAAAGCTGAGGTGGCAGCATGCCAGAGGGTGCACTTCCATTGCTGGCCTCACATGTGGCAAATATCAGGGAAGCTTGCAGTACATTGCCCCAAGACGTTTCATGATTTCAATTCTGACTGATGCTTCTGCCTTATGTCCGCACCGAACCACAAGGCCTATTGAACGAATGTCCTGACTCATTGACTGGAAGCCATACGTCTCCAGTTTCAAGGTGCTTTCTTTGGAATCTTTCTCTGGAGACTGAGTCTCTGGTCGCTGAGGCCTTTAGACATAACCTACTGTAATAATCGCCCCTGCTGACAGTTCTCGGCCGCCGTGCTCCGCGAAGCCGCGGCAACAGCCAACGGACGAAGGCGGACACCTCTTGGGCCTTCCAAAGTGGGACACGTCGACAGTCGGCAAACGATCCTTTCCGGATGGTCGAAAAAAATCACTCCGAATCCCCCGAAGCAAACTCTGCTCGTTCCGGTGAGGGACCAAGGGATGATGAGAAACACATACTGTCTGACATCAGCAAGACAAAAAGGTAAGAATAACTTATAGTAAATATGTTTGATCTGTAAAAGTAAACAGGAAAGTGCACTCTATAGGAAAATGAGTCAATGTTTGGAAGTGACTCTGCAGCTGCAGTTTGGAAGGGAATATCCAATCATACACACGGAAAAATAATGAGATTTACTTTCCTTGCTGCAACAAATGCAAGTTTACTCGAAACTCAAAAAATGTTCTCCCGCCAACTCAGCGCGCCTTCACAGGTCTTGCTTTTGTACAATCCTCCTCCCCCGGCACGTCTGGGAAGTGCTTCCCAATAAACTCCTGGCAAATCGTCCACTCAAACTCCCCCCAAAATGTGCAGATCTGCTTTGGAGAACCAAAACCATTCCCAAGAAACTCGCAAGAAAAAGAAAAACATTCTTTTTGTGGGATGCACATCCTTTGCGGTCAGCAACATTGTCTTCACTACCTCCACGTCTCTCATCAGCATCAAGTCGTTGGCCCGAGGGCTGATGCCATAACCTGAGAGTCTCCAGTCGGTTCCAACCGACCGATCGCCAACCCATCTCAATCGAGAAGGGAATTCCCAAACGAAAAAGAATTGATTTTCTTTTCCAAACGACTGAGCTCTCAACAAACACCAGAGCTTAGCGGGAAGTGTTCAAAGAACCACATGGCCTGGCAGCAAGTATTTGCTCAGATCAAGGGACATTTCAATTTGCAACTATCAGCGCAATATACAAATGAGTGAAGCCACAATCTTACTAATCTTACTAAGGAAAGCAGTTTACAACCCTATGAATTGTCTTGTAAAGAGTGGAGGCTGGCCATGGACGTAGTCTCAGCCGTGAGTGATTGCACGTGATGCCACCAGTATGGCCTGGTGTATCGGTTTCATTTCAAAAAGGCAAGCGCAAGCTGCTCATGTCCAACTCAGCACGAGACGGTATGTACAAAGCTTCACCTGGTTCCAACTCCACCTCAACAAGGTCGAAGCTGCGGGCGGATCAACAACTGTCCAAGACTTTTGAGTCTTTTCCTTGAAACCAAAACAGCTGATCAGCTGATGAATCCCTCTCTGGGGATCTTGCCAAGCATCCTGAAGCCTCCCTCCAGTTTGGGAAGCGTTGGTCATCTGGTCCATCCAAGTCCACCATACTCCTAACGCCCGTGCCACATGTCACGCTCACGCAACGAAAGCTTGCACGCTTGACCTCTGCTGTCTGTTCCAGAAAGAAAATGAGTAGTAGCATCTCTGAGCAAATGATAATAAAAGCACGAACGATCTCAATAGAAGTATATACTTATATACCTCAGCGTTCCAGAAGGGTCCAGGTTCCATAGATTCAGACTTGCGGCTTCTCGTCTACGATCCAACACAATATCCACTCGCACACCCATCCGTGACCGTCCGGAATCCCTCACACAGCCTGCGATCCAGGTCGTGGTGTACTGGAAAGGGATACAAATGACGCCAATCCTTCGCAGGGACCAAAAAAGGTGACTGACCAAAGTGCACAGGCATCCCTCGCGCAATTATGATCCATGCCTACTTCACTGACTTGGAGCTGCTTTATTGGGGCTGTGCACTATTTCAATGGCCCACAAGGCTTACGAACCCCCGTTCAGCCCTTCATATTGCCCCCTGAGCTACCCACGTCTGGAGGAAATAGAATGAAGCGCTTTTTGCCAGTCAGCTGCACGTGCCTTTGACCGCAACACCAAGAGCCAGTGACTTTTAACGTGGTCTTCAGATTCTGTCTTCAGTGCATTTTTCAGAGATCGACTCAATAAGCAACAGGCATCAACATGCCAGGCCAAAAAATGGTGACAGAAAAATACCGAAGCAGCGTTCATCACTGTTCGCAGTCTGTCGGGACAGGGGACACTTTCAGCAATTAAAACGAGCTCTAACCCAGCAATTCATGACCTCGCATCGCAGTGCCAATCAATGAAGTGTCTGAGAAATGGGCAAGTTGGGCTGCAAGTCATAATGGCAATGATACAGCCTCAGGTCAAACAACCTTTGACGGATGAACGCTCACAAAGGGCATGATGCACATTATGACTTAAGATTCGTTCTTGGCACCCAGCGTCC